CAGAATGGTCGTGATCGTGATCGTGATTGTGTTTGGCATATCGAATACATCATGGGTAGCTTGCCAGGCTCTGCCGTGCTGGTGAGATACTCTCGGTAGCTTGCCGGTATCTTCGAGAGGGGCAGAGGAATCAAACTCAGGTTGGCCACGCTGGCTGCGTGCAAGGCAAACTCCCTACCATTGTGCTATCGCTCCAGCCCAAACCTAGATGTCTAACAACAAATAATGGATAAAGAAGCTTGGTGTATATATCCACATAGAATATATGTAGCTAAAAGAAAGCATAACATCTTGCAGTTCTTGCAACTTGAGTGGAAATGGAGAAAATCATGTTAAAAGAAATAAGTCAAAGGGAAAAGGACAAATACTAGATGATCTTACTGATCTGTGGTATAAGAGAAATAAGAGAATAGACAGAAGAGAATGACAAAATTGCCTTGGCCTAGATTACAAAAATGTTATTATTAAGCAGTTGGGAAGTGTGTGGAGAATGAAAACGTGAACTAGAAGCAATGTAAAGGTATTGGTAGATGATATTTGGCACTTTGGTGGTAGTGAAGTATGGTAACTGTGCATCAAGGCCATAGATGATAACACTATTGTAAACATGTTACCTTAACTATGACAATAATGAATCAAATTTAAGTTTAAAATAAATGTATAAGTGCTTGCTATTGAATATATTGACTGATGATTCCCATATAATGACCTTCATAATTTCCATGTTAGTTATCTAGTTTAAATCAGTGATTTTCAAGGAGGAGAATTGGAAGGAGTCATGGGGTAATTTTAAAACAAAGCAGGTGAGTTCTACTTCTTTGGTTTGATTTGTAATAAGAATATTTACTTTATTTTGAATTTCAAGGTATATTAAAAGAGATCATAAAATTTTTAAGGTTCTTGAGATTGGATAAACCATATCATGTGCTAGATTCTTTGAGTTATTTTCAGGATATTTCTGATGTGAATGAAGCAAGGGTTTTTGAGGGTACAGGAAATAGAGCATTTGCCTTGCATATTTGAGGGTTGTTTTATGTTTCACCTTGGTGCTCCCCAGCATCAACTAACTTGGCCCCTAATATATATATATATATATATATATCACTTGATGACTTGATCACCTGACATTCCATTACTCATCGATTTGCTTGAGTGGGTACCAGCAACGTCTCCATTTGTTCCTGTCGCGTGCTAGTGTAGCCCAATGGCGTCTGCTTGCTCCAGGAACACGAAGAACCTCAAAATTGATCGTTCAGGGTCTTTACGAAGAAGTCTGACCATCTTGTAGGTGGGTGGCTATGTGATTTTTTGATGTCCCGTGGAATCCAGTTGGTAACGGCTCTGGTCCAGCAGTCATCTCCAAATTGCATTAAATGACAGCCCATCTGATTTTCGATGGCTTAGCAAACGAGACAACATCCCTGATACTCAATCGTCGAAGGAGGTCAGAACTCTGGATTCTTTCTCTCACTTGAGTGAAGTGTGATAGTCTAAGCATAGCTCTTTCGATTCCTCTTTGGGAGACCCAAATAGCATTCTCATCCTGTTTTCATAGGGCCCAAGTGTCTGAGGCATATGTTAATGCAGGAAGAACAGTGGAATCAAAGACATGTTCCCGGAGCTGGAGGTTCTTCATCCTTTTAGCTATTTCTTCAATGCTCTTGAAGGTGTTCCAAGCCGCTCTCTTCCGCTCTCTTCTGGCAACTCAGGTGCCAGGTCATTCGTCATGTTGACTTCTCGACCTAGGTACACATAACTGTTGCATTCAGAGATGTTCATTTTGTTGAGAGTGAATGTAGCATCAGGAATGAGTCCGTTTCTCATAAACATTGTCTTCATGAGATTCAGCTGTGGTCTGACCTTTCCATACTCATGGTCAAAGTTGGCCCGCATTTGAGCCGCTTGGCTAGTGCTTCATGTTATTAGAACAAGGTCATCAGCGAACTGGAGGTGGTGTGGTTGCCGACCATCTATCTTCACTCCCATTCCTTCCCATTCAGTCATCACATGACATTCTCGAGGGTGGCACTGAAGAGTTTTGGTGAAATGGTATCACCCTGCTGAACCCAAGTGCAGTCATCTTGGTCTTGTAGTTGGCGAAGGATAGGCAGGCATTGCAAATGCTCTTCCCGACTTCTGCCTCATCTGCCAGTACTGCTGCTCTTCTCTCTCTCTCTCTCTCTCTCTCTCTCTCTCTTTTACATTTTTATTAGTGAGACTTGTGGGGCATCTCGCTTAGGTTGGAACAGTATGGGGAGATAACGCTCTTCTCTCTTTGAGGTCTTTACCATTTCTCTGCACTGCTTTGCGAGCTTGGACATTTGCTTGCAGTTGCCTGAGTCTTGTGCGAAGCAACTTTGGCAAATGAGCTTGAGACTTTTCAAAGACAGGCATCTTTTTGTGGCTTTCTCTCTCTCTCTCAGCATTACTCGCACATCATAGAGGTGCTGAATCAGTTGATCATATTCTTCATCAATGTTGTCAATGACAGCATCTTCCCATGTTGCTGCAATAGTGCCAAAGAGCTCCCAGTTGGTGGTCTTTCTGGGAGTTTTCTTCTTAAACTTTGCAGCCCTTTCTCCCCGCTCTGTGAAATAGATTTTTGCATGAAGGAGATGGTGGTCCGATCCCATTTGGAATTTTGGGACAACAGCAACATCGTCAAGCAAAACCATCTATTAACTATAATGTGGTCAATTTCGTTGTGGAACTGTCCACTGGGAGACTCCCATGTCCAACGTTTAGATTCGGCCTCCTGGAAGTGTGAGTTACTATGATGATCTTGGTCAACAAGATGAACTCAGACAAGTCTCTCACCCTGTATATATATATATATATATATATATATATATATATATATATCTCTTCTTATTCTTTTTAAAAGGTAAAGGTAAAGGCCCTCCCATTGATCGTCGATTTGCTCGAGCGGGCCCAGTAACGTCTCCATTGGAGACTTTGTTGTTACTGTGTCTGGCATATCAAATACTCTCAGTAGCTTGCCGGGCTCATTTTATTTATTTATTTATTTATTTTTATTTTATTTTTTTTTATTGAATCACTGTGGGAAAGGTTACAAAGCTTTCAGGTTTATGTCTCAGTCATGCAAATATCAAACACATTTCCCTTTACCAATACTTATTTTTTACCATGAAGAACCCCAATAAAACCCCACCCCCCACCCCTCCCCGTCCCTGTGAGGCAGATGAATTCTAGTTAACACTCTATCTGCTTTGATTAGATTCACTGTTTCAATAAAAGATTCACCACTATTTTTTAGAGTTTACCCCCCCCCCCCAAATCAGACATGCTGAAAAAGCATTGTGAAGTGATTTGCTTTCTACAGCTGGGTTCAAGAATTAAATGTTGGTTTTGGATTTCTGCTATTTTACCTATTGACCCTGGAGGTATTTCTACTGAAAGTCAGATAGTTAAGAAATTAGTTTCTGTGTTCTGGAGTCGTGGCCGTGCTGGAGAGCCGCTCGCGGGGGGCAACCGGTGGCCTCGGTAGGGCATGAAGGGCGGAGCAAAACGCCCCCCTTCCCATGAGGTTTTAGTCGCCCCCACACTCCCGGCTCATACCTGCTGTCCACAAGGCTACCATGTGGCCGCCATCTTTCTTTCCAGAGAGGAGAGGGCGAATGGGGCAACACCCTTTCCCCTCTGGCAGACTTGATGGCCTGGATCAACGCATAGTCCGTTCACTTTTCTGCTCCAAGCTGCTGGGTTCTGCATTAAGTCCTTGTGCTTCTGGGGCCATGGCCGTGCTGGAGAGCCACTCGCGGGGGGCGACTGGTGACCTCGGTAGGGCGTGAAGGACGGACCGGAACGCCCCCCGACCCATGAGGTTTTAGTCGCCCCCACTCCCCCGGCTCATACCTGCTGTCCACAAGGCTCCCATGTGGCCGCCATCTTTCTTTCCAGAGGGAGGAGGGCGGAAGGGAGCAACACCCTTTCCCCTCTGGGCAGAAATGATTGCCTGGATTAACGCATAGTCCTTTCACTTTTCTGCTCCAAGCTGCTGGGTTCTGCATTAGGTCATTGTGCTTCTGGGGCTGTGGCCGTGCTGGAGAGCCGCTCGTGGGGGCAACTGGTGGCCTCGGTAGGGCGTGAAGGGCGGTCCGAAACGCCCCCCTTCCCATGAGGTTTTAGTCGCCCCCACACTCTTGCCGGGCTCATTTAATTAAAGATGAATATTTTCTTCATCTTTAAAAGAGTGGCTTTGGTTGTGAAATTAGTGAATAAATTATCTAGTAATTAGTGGATTTTTTGACACCATGATAAGAATGGAGCGATAGCACAGCGGTAGGGCGTTTGCCTTGCACACAGCCAACATGGCACACCCGAGTTTGATTCCTCCGCTCCTCTCGGAGAACCCGGCAAGCTACCGAGAGTATCTCGCCCACATGGCAGAGCCTGCAAGCCACCCGTGATGTATTCGATATGCCAAACACAGTAACAACAAAATCTCCAATGGAGACGTTACTGGACCCGCTCGAGCAAATCGATGAACAATGGGAGGGCCTTTTTTTTTCGAGCATGATAAGAAGGTGTCATGATGTGCCATGTTGGCTGTGTGCAAGGTGGGGGGTGGGAGGCATGCTGGGATCCGTGGTGGTGGGAAATGAGCACTAGTGGAGGGATGGGTATTTGATCATTGTATAATTAAAACCCAAGCACAAAAATTTGTAGTCTAAAACTGTACCTCATGGCGTCTCACTAATAAAAAAAAAAGAATTTGTTTTTATATCTTCTCCCTTTGTCAACTTAATAACTTTTACATCTCTTCCACTGTCAATTTAGTAATTTTCTAGGAGATACATTATTTATACCTTATTTATTTGGGGGAATTTTATTATTTTTTTATATTGCTAAGTAAAAATTTAAGACAAAATTTTAAAATAATCTATAAAAGCCGAGAGTTTTATTACTATATATAATGGACAAACACATTTAGACTTATCATGAAAATAAAAATCAAACAAATATAGTATATATTTATTTTCTAAAGAAATATATTTTTATTGAAATTTTCATTTTCTTACAAAGCAATTAAAGAACTCATTCTTGAATTTGCACGCAGTTCAATGGTACAATGACTGCCTCCTTATGAGACTTACTGTGGAACTGTAGTACATTTCCTTAAGCTCCGCAGAGAGAATCATTGTCTGGTCCCACTTTTATAGAAAACAATTCAAGTTTTACCCACTATATTATACTTAGCTCTCTTGAAACGACTGTTTTAGTGGATTAATACTAATTTACATATAGTTATAAAGACAGACTTTGACTCTTTACAGATTAAATGCCCATTTATACATGGAGTAATTGTTTGAATTATTGGAAAATGTATAGTATATATAGACATAGATGTACTACATATGTCTATAAATAAAATAGTACTTTAAGGTATTCTTTGGCTAATTTAAATGCCCTTAGCAGATGCATAAAAGTCTAAAATGAAAATGGTCCCACTATTATTGTCAATCTTAAGACTGAACTTGTGCGGTAAGTTCCTATACTATTGACTGTTAGCATCTCCAGGTCCACGATGTATTCCCTTGGTCCTGATAGTGACTTCACCAGCACCAGCATTGCACTTACAGGACTTGTTTGCTAAAATGAAAAAAAAAAGAAAGTAATTTTCTTGGATTGAAGTTTCTATCTATGAGTATACGTTTTATAAGAGTTAAGAGAAGAATTCTGAGGGTGAGATAAAAGTCAGAGCTTTTATTTCTTATCCACACATAGCAGTTGAAAATTACAGGGTCATATATATATATATATATATGCACACACATATATATATCTTTCCTCTATATCTATTAATATTTCTTTTCACTTTAGTGAGTTCTGGTGAGAATCTGATAATTTCTGAACTGGTAAACAGTTATCATCTTCATACACTGTGCATCTTTTAATATTTTAGTAGGTGAAGAGACTTATAAATAGTTCATTTCAATGGAATGTGGCAAGTGGCAGATATGAAGATATGTAGGATACATTTGAAGATGTATAAAGATATCTATGTAGGAAAAAAGAAGAGAAAAATTAAAGCACTAAGGAGTAAATCAAGATAAATAGAAGTTTCATAATGAAGTGTGTGCTGGAGAACAGGTTGCACTTTGATTTAGGTGGAGAAGTAATGGTGCTGGAAAGTGGAGGGAGATGAGGTTCTAGAGGCAGGTAAATGCATATTGTAAAATTGGAAGCTTTTTGTTTGATTTTTTGGCCACATCTGGAGGTGTTCAGGATTTAATCCTGACTGTGTGCCCCAAAAAAACACTCCTGGAAGTGCTTGGGGGAACATATGGAGTGCTGGAGATTGAACCTGAGTTGGCCACATGCAAGACAAGTCTCCTACCTGCCATATTATCACTTTGGTCCTATATTATAAATTAGACTACTTAGGATAAAATAGACAGCACTCAAAAGGAGAGAGAGAACAAAAGGGAATGCCCTGCCACAGAGGGTAGGGGGTAGAATGGGGTGGATTGGAGCGGGGGAGGGATACTGGGATAATTGGTGGTGGAGAATGGGCACTGGTGGAGGGATGGGTACTCGATTATTGTATAACTCAAACCCAAGCACAAAAATTTGTAAGTCTGCAACTGTACCTCATGGTGTTTCACTAATAAAAATTAAAAAAAAAAGAATAGAACTCTCCTTCTTCATCTCCCAAGCTGTGCTGATCTTCTCCGCCACCCAGTCTTTACCCCATTTACCCCACACCAGGTTTCCGTGGGGGAGTGGCAGTTTCAGAAGTGGGCATGGCTTCTGTGGAAGTGGGCATGGCCTAATTTTCAGCAGGGCAACGCTCAAGCAGCTGCTGGTAGTTTACACATACCAAGGAACCTAGTCCCCATACCTATGCACCAGCATGAAGAAACAACGCAAATCCCCACCACGTGGGGACAACGATGAAAAGAGTCCAGAAGCCTCACTAGGTGCTACTCACCTAGAGGACCTCTCTGAGAAAGAAATCAGATATGAAGTCATGAAGATGTTCAATCAACTCAATGAAACAGTCAGACAGATATCCAGTAACATGACAGAAATAATTTTCAAATTACGGGAAGAAATGAAAGTAGAAATGTCATGAATAAAAGGTTCCATAGATGAAATAAAAAACTCAGTCTGTACCTCAACAGTAGAATCACCACAGCTGAAGAGAAAATCAGTGAGCTGGAAGATCAGCTGCACCAAGCCAACAGGCAAAAACAAACAATGGCAAGGGACCTCAAAAGAGCTCTAGAGAGAATTAGAGTCCTAGGAGATGATTGCAAGAGGAACAACATTAGAATCATTGGAGTACCAGAAGCTCAGAGAAACAATCCCAATGAAAAAACCATGGTTAAACAAATCATTGTCAGCTAAAAGAGACCCTAAGAAAAACACTCCAAGACATATCATAGTTAGAATGATCGATGCTGCCGATGGAGACACAATACTGCAAGCAGTAAGGTCAAAGAAGGAAATCACATACAAAGGAGCACCCCTTAGATTCACAGCAGACTTATCAGAGTAAAGCCTGAAGGCAATGGCGGGATATAGTGAACAAACTCACTGAAATGAATGCTTCACCAAGAATACTCTATCTGACTAAACTCTCACTCAAACTCAAAAGAACGGTACACTATTTTATAGATAAACAGCAGTTCAGAACTTCATAGACTCAAAACCAAACCTAAAACAAGGGCTAAAGGAGTTACTATAGACAAAACAAAACCTACAAGCACCACAGACCCTTACAGAAAGAAGACACAAAACCTGATAACAATAATCTCTCTCAACGTCAATGGTCTAAATTCACCAATTAAGAGACACAAAGTGGCAAAATGGATTCAGAGACAGAACCCAATATTCTGCTCCTTACAAGAAACTCATCTCAACAGACAGAGCAAACACAGACTCAAAGTCAAAGGATGGAAAACAATCCTGCAAGCAAACAGCTCCCTCAAATAAGCTTAGTGGCCATACTAGTATCCGACAACATTAATTTCAGATTGAAAGAGATTAAAAGGGACAGCGAAAACTATTTTCACTTCATCAAGGGATGCGTACAACAAGAAGAAATCACACTCTTAAATGCATATGCACCTAATGAGGGACCAGCTAATAATTAAAATAACTGCTAACAGATTTTAAGGAGGACATTGCTAGCAACACAGTAGTAGCTGGAGGTTTCAACATCGCCCTATCACCTCTGGATAGATCAACAAGAACAAAATTCAGCAAGGAAACACTGGCTTTGAAAGAAGAAATAGAGGATAAAGGGCTTATAGACCTATATAGGGCTTTACACCCCAAAAAGAGAGAATATACTTTCTTCTCCAGTGTGCATGGAACATATTCCAAAATAGACCATGTGCTAGGCCACAAAACATACCTCAATAGAATCAGGAAGATAGAAATAGTATCAACAATCTTTTCAGACCATGACGAACTGAGAATAGAAATGAATCACACACAGACACGAAGAACCAAATCAAAGACATGGAAATTAAATAACTCAAAGATGAACAATGAGTGAATCAGGAAGGAAGTCAAGGATGAAATCAAGAGATACTTGGAAACAAATGATAATGAACACACAAGCTACCAGGACTTATGGGATGCAGCTAAAGTCGTATTAAGGGGAAAATTTATAGCTCTGCAAGCATATCTCAGATGGAAGAAAGGATGCACATAAACAACTTGACTTCACAGCTCAAGATCTTAGAAAAGGATCAACTGAAGGAGTCCAAATCAGGCAGAAGGAAAGAGATCATAAAACTTAGAGCAGAAACCAACGACATGGAAACCAAAGAAACAATTCAAAAGATCAATGAAACAAAGAGCTGGTTCTTCGAGAAAATAAATAAGATAGATAAACCACTAGCAACACTCACAAAGAAAACACACAGAAAGAACCCTAATAAATCGAATCAGAAATAAGAATGGGGATATCATAACAGAAACCAAAGAAATTCAAAGGATCATCAGAGAATATTTTCAAAGTCTGTATGCCACAAAACAAAAGAACCTAGAAGAAAGAGATAAATTCATGGATTCCTATCATCTCCCAAAGCTGAATCAAGAAGATCTAGAGTACCTGAATAGATGTATTAACATCAAGGAAATTGAAACTGTAATCTAAAGTCTTCCCAGAAACAAAAGCCCAGGTTCAGATGGATTCACTAGCGAATTTTTCTAAACATTTAAAGAGGACCTACTGCCAGGTCTTCTCAAGATTTTTCAGGAAATTGAAAAAACAGAAACTGTCCCAAACAGTTTCGATGAAACCCATATCTCTCTAATACCAAAAGGAAACAAAGGCACCACAAGAAAAGAAAACTACAGGCCAATATCCCTGATGAAGACGGATGAGAAGATTCTCAACAAAATACTAGCAAATAGAATTCAACTACTCATCAAAAAGATCATACACCATGACCAAGGGGTATTCATCCTGGGGATGCAAGGATGGTTTAACACTCAGAAATCAATCAACATAATCCATCATATCAACAAAAGAAAAGATAAAAACCATATGATCATATCAATAGACGCAGAGAAAGCATTTGACAAGACCCAGCACCCGTTTATATGAAAACCCTCGCCAAAGTGAGAATAGAGGGGACTTTCCTCAATATAGTTAAAGCCATCTACCACAAGCCTACAGCAAGCATTATCCTCAATGGGGAAAAATTGAGAGCCTTCCCCCTAAGATCAGGGACGAGACAAGGATGCCCACTCTCTCCACTACTGCTCAATATAGTACTGGAATTACTTGCAATAGTGATTAGGCAAGAAAAAGATATTAAGGGCATCCAGGTAGGAAAGGAAAAAAATCAAACTCTCACTATTCGCAGATGATATGATACTATACTTAGGGAACCCTAAAACCTCTACCAAAAAACTCCTAGAAACAGTAGACTTGTATAGTAAAATTTCAGGCTATAAATCAATACCCAAAAGTCCATGACTTGCCTATATGCAAATAGTGAGAGAGAAGAAAGTGACATGAAGAAACAATCCCGTTCACAATTGTGTTCCCGAAAATCAAGTACCTAGGAATTAGTTTAACTAAGGAAGTAAAGACCTGTACAAAGAAAACTACAAAACGCTGCTTCAGGAAATAAAAGAGGACACGAGGAAATGGAAAAATATCCCCTGTTCATGGATGGGGAGAATTAACATTGTTTAAAATGGCAATACTTCCCAAAGCACTGTACAAATTCAATGCGATCCCATTATGATACCCATGACATTCTTCAAAGAAATGGAGCAAACACTCCTGAAATTTATATGGAATAATAAGCCTCCACGAATAGCTAAAGCAATTCTTGGGAAAAAGAAAATGAGAGAAATCAACCTCCCTAACTTCAAACTCTACTACAAAGCAGTAAAAATTAAAACAGCATGGTACTGGAACAAAGGCAGAGCTGTAGACCAATGGAACAGCGTTGAGTATACTGACATCTACCCCCAAACATATGATCATCTAATCTTCGAAAAGGGGGCAAGAAAAGTGAAGTGCAGCAAGTAGAACCTCTTTAACAAATTGTGCTGGCAAAAGTGGATGACTACATGCAAAAAAGTGGGCTCAGATCTCTGCCTAACGCTATGTAAAA